GAAAAGCAAACTTGCTCTAGCTCTACAAGGGTTGCAAGCCACCTATCCAACAATTCTAGTTACTATGATCACTAGACACACAATTTACTAAGTCATTACTCACTAAGAGCTCTCACACTTGCTACACTAAAGAGCTCCACTAGATGAACTTAAGTTACAAAGCAAGCTCTCAATTCTAGATACACTAAAGAGGTTACTACGACTAGTTTGCGGGTATGTAAATGAGTAAGTAAGTTGATTATACCGTCGCGTAGAGGAGTGAACCAATCACAAGATGAATACCAACTTAATCACCGGGAGAATACCAAGGGGCAAGAGACAACCAATTTTTCTCTCGAGATTCACGTGCTTGCCGGCACGCTAGTCCCCGTTGTGTCGACCAACACTTGGTGGTTCGGTGGCTAAGAGGTGTTGCACGAACCTCGTCCACACAATTAGACACCGCAAGAACCTACCCACAAGTGAGGTAACTTAATGACATGAGTAATCCACTAGAGTTACCTTTCGGCGCTCCGCCGGGAAAGGCACAAGACCCCTCACAATCATCGGGAGATGGCCATGAACAATCACCAACTCGTGCCAATCCTCCTTTGCTGCTCCAAGCCATCTAGATAGCAGCAACCACTAAGAGTAACAAGCGAATCCAGCAGCGAAACACGAACACCAAGTGCCTCTAGATGCAATCACTCAAGCAATGCACTTGGATTCTCTACCAATCTCATAAAGATGATGAATCAATGATGGAGATGAGTGGGAGGGCTTTGACTAAGCTCACAAGGTTGCTATATCAATGCAAATGGCCAAGAGAGTGAGCTTGAGCTGGCCACGGGGCTTAAATAGAGAGCCCCCACGAATAGAGCCGTTGGCTATCTGTTCCCTGAAAAATCGGGGCGATCGGACGCGCCGGTTGGATTGACCGGACGCAGGGCCCCAGCGTCTGGTCCTCAGATTTTCGCCATGTGTCCCCGACTTCAAATGCTGATCGTCCGATCTCAACGGTCATCAGTGCACTTAAGTTGTGACCGAACGCACTGCTCAAAGTGACCGGACGCTCCAACACTGGAGTCCGATCATTTCCAGTAAGGTTCCATTCATGATCGGACGCGTTGCTCAAAGTGACCGGGCGCTTCAACACTAGAGTTCGATCGTTTCCAGTAAGGTTCTATTCACGACTGGACGCGTCTGGTGGCTCATGACCGGACCCAGACCAGCGTCCGGTCAACTCAGTCTCTCTCTGTTGCTTGCGTCAGCGTATGTCACTAGGTGACCGGACGCACCCCCTGCGTGTTCAGTCCCTCTCTCTCTTCAGTGTCTGGTCAAGGGACCGAGGGTGGCCTTCACTGCGTGCCACTGACCGGACATGCGGTCAGAGTCCGGTCACTGCCCAAGCCAGAGGCTGGTCAATACAAAACTCCTCCTTTTGACCCAAAACTTCACCACCCTTGATCAAATATGCCAACCACCAAGTGTATCACCTTGTGCACATGTGTTAGCATATTTTCACAAATGTTTTCAAGGGTGTCCGCACTCCACTAGATGCTAAATGCATATGCAATGAATTAGAGCATCTAGTGGCACTTTGATAACCGCATTTTGATACGAGTTTGACCACTCTTAATAGTGCAACTATCGATACTAAATGTGATCACACTCGCTAAGTGTCTCGATCACTTAAACCGAAAAGCTCCTATCAATTTCACCTTTGGCTTGAGCTTTTTGTTTTTCTCTCTCTTCTTTTTCAAGTCCAAGCACTTGATCATCACCATGGCATCACCATCATCATGTCATGATCTTCATTTACTTTACCACTTGGAGTAGTACTACCTATCTCATAATCACTTTGATAAACTAGGTTAGCACTTAGGGTTTTATCAATTCACCAAAACTAAACTAGAGCTTTCAACTGGCAGCTGCCAGGCCGTGCCACTATCCTCGGTCACCAGCTAGCTAGAACAGACCGTTCCCCACTCTGCTCTGCGTTGTACGGAAGAAGAAGTTTTTTTTGCGATTCAGAACTTCATTCGTTCACCAATGAGCATTGGGATTACAATCTTACGCCAATAGGTGATCGATGCATGTTGGGGCTAATTGCCACTCTCCTAACCTATCGTGTCACTCGTGACCTGCTTAGCTAACAAGTGAGCTACGGAAGAAGAAGGTTAAAAAACGCATGTTGCAAGCATATGTTTTAAGTGTTTCAGATGTTTTCATAGGTATGTTGTAAGTGTTTTAGATGGATGTTAAAAGTAGATCGAAATGTTTCATATGTTGCAATGGTTATACTCGTATGTTGCAAGACTTTATTCCTAATGTTTCATCTGTGTTTTTAGACATATGATGCAAGTGTGTTTATCTGGATGTTGCATAAGTTTTCACACATATATTGCAAGTGTTTTATTTGAATGTTGTGTATATTTGCAATTGTTTTCATGTGTTTTTTGCAAGTGTTTCAGAAGTATGTTTCAAGTGTTTCATCTGTCTTCAGACGTATGTTGCAACTGTTGCATCTGGATGTTTCAAAAGTAGATTAGGTGTTGCACATGGGATGCGCGTGGGAAACGGAAGGGGCGCGAGGGGTGCCCGCACGTAGTCTAGCGGCGTGGGCCCCACGTGGGCGCGCGGGTAGAGGCGTGCTGGTGCGAGCGCGGGTGTAGAGTGCAGCGCACGCGGGAAATAGAGTGCAGCGCGGGTGTTCGTCCGGATGTACGGGCGCTAGCACTGCTAAAGATTTATATATGAATATTTACGCAAACTGTACCTAGGAAAAAACACCAAAATAATTATCATAACTTTAATACAAGTACGGTATAAATTGAGCTAGAGTGTCCTTATATTAGCTGTGACAGTGGTGTTTAGTCGAGCTAAAGTGTCGTTAGCTACAATAGCAGAATCATTGACGACATTATAGCAGCATACCTTATGAAATATTATAATGGTGCTATATTAGCTATTTAGATCGATTAATATAGCTCTATAAAAACTTTGTGTACACTTTAAATTTAAAATAATTGATTAATAGCATGCTTTCTTTTTTATAAAAAGAGGAGATGGTTTAGTAGATGAAAATTTTACTTCAACTAACTCAAGATAATAAGTCTAAATATTTATGCTAGAACTAATGCACTCCCTCCTTTTCAATGTGCAGGACGTATTATAGAATAAAAAACAACTATTTTAAACTTTGACCATCAATAAGTCAAATATATGCATGTCTAGTGCACAAAAATGCATCAACACATCATATCTCACATGTATTTTAGTATAATGTTGGTTTTATAGTGATTGATAATATATTTTCAGATAAGTCAATACCCAAAATTAAATATATTTTGAAATACTTTTTGGATTATAATATGTCTTATCAAAAGAAATGGAGAGAGTAGGTCTTTTTCTCCAAGGAAGAAGGAAATGATCGGTTTAAGCGAAACGCTTCGTTGACAAAATAATATAATGTTGTTTCTTTCTCTCTTTTGAGAACTGCCACGTCCGTCCAAAAATATGTAAACATCGTTTTTCAAAAAGTCAATTAATCTCAAGTTTAACTAGGTTTATAAGAAACAATATCAGCATTTATATCTCTAAATAAATTTATTATGAAAAATATATTTCATAATTAATCTAATAATATTTATTAGATATTATAAATATTATTATTTTTGGGAATTAAATATTATTATTTTATCTATATATATTTGATTAAACTTGAGATCTGTCAAAATGAGATTTATATTTCTTTTTTGGGACGGTGATTTTTTTTAGGGGAGGGACAGTGAATTGGTGAGTCTGGCTGGCACGGCATCAACTATCGGGCCTTGCTAGGCCGTGTAACAGAACACGACGGTTTCGCACCTCTCTTGTCTGGGCCGTGGATGGCTTGACTCGGCCCAACCATAGAACGACAAACCGACCTGAGAAATGGTCTGATTTTTTTTTTAGGGAACAGAAATGGTTTGAACTTAGAGGACACGATCAACCAAGATAAAGAAGTGCTATACATTGCTTTGTATTGCATCTCTCTCCCATTCAAATTCACAACTCACAAGCTTGGCAACTGGGAAACTTGCTTCTTGTTCCCCAAAAAAGTTGCAACTCAAGTTTCTCTTCATCCAAAAAGTCATCCAAAAGTTAACACCGATATATGTGTACAAATAGGAGCAATTAGCTGACGTTGCAGAACTACGCAAGTATCGAACACTATCAAATACTTGTAAACATAAGAAATATACAGCAGCATGCGGAATGGTGGGGTTACCTCAGTTGATCGCAAAAGGATCAGGCAGGACAACCGGACAAGGAGATATATAGAAGCGTTGATATTCTCTGAACTCAGCAATAAGCCAATAATCATCAATTCATCATTCATGTATCTCCCAGATGTGTACTCCCTTTCTTCATCAGTATCAACAACAACAAAAATCAGTATAAAAAAAGTGTGCAAGAGACTTGACAAACAGTCACTAAACACATGGAGGAAGCAAGCACGGTGTTGGATTTCATCATCATTGTTTGGTGTCTCCAAACGAAACACGAAACAAAAGGATCCTGTAGCTAGCTAGTGGCAGCTAGGAAGATGATCAAATAACCAACTTAACGAACATCACCGACTAACAAGAGTTTATAATGTTGCAAAAAATGCCTATATCAGCATATATCCGCAAATTAAAAGGATCGAACCTGGAGAACATTTCACTGCTTTGCTAAGCACCAGCACCAAGGCACAGGGCCTTGCAGGACAAGAATAGAAGAAAGATTGCATTGAAATTCTCGCTGAACTCAGAATGTGCATCGCCAGTAATCCAGTATCAACTATCAACAGCAAAGCGTTGCAAGAAGATGAACAAGATAGTGAACTTAACTCCCAAACAGCGGTTAAACGAGATCACGCATTCCCCAAGTCATTGCCTCACTTTCTGAAAGCTACATTACTTCTAGTTCTAGGCGACGCATAACAGCTGAACAAGCCGCCGATGAGCAGATGAACTTGACCAAATTAACAGCGATCACATATCAAACCTATAGTTCTCAGGGCGTGTACTTACTTCCCTATGGCAAATTACCCACCACCGGGGGATACCCAAGAGGAAGCACAGCACCAGGACGGCGATCCTCAGGATGCTGGTGGGTCCCGGCACCACGGCGCCCCACGACGCGACGTACGCCAGCGCGTACGCGGCGGCGGCCGTGACGAGGACCCCAGGGAGGAGGTGGACGCGGTTGAAGGCGAAGGCGAGGGCCCGGGACACCGCGAGGAACACGAGGGCTTCGACCAGAAGAAGCTCGTTCTGCTTGATGAGCTTGACGCGGGCCGCGGCCTCCACGTAGGCGGCGGCGTGCGCGGCCACCTCAGGATCATCCAGCGGCAGCACCAGACCCTCCGGCGGCGGCTCCTGGAGCGCGCGGCGGGCGGCGGTGGCGTTGAACGCCACCTCCGCGACGCGCCGGCGGGCCTGCGCAAGCTGGGCGGCGGCCTCGGCGTGGAGCGCGGCGTACTCGTCGATCTCGGCGCGGACGAGGTCGACGTTGCGCTGCACGCGCTGCACGGCGTCGACGTCGCCAAGGCGCCCGGCAAGGTCGTCCATCAGTGCTTCTACGATGGGGTTGGCATGCGCCATCGGTGAGCGACTGAGCGTGGGGGCCGGCGGGCCGCTGCTGCGACTGCGAGAGGTGGATGGGTTTTGGCCGGGTGGCGCTGGCGACTGGAGAAAAAGGAGGCCTGCAGCAGTGCTGCAGAGGGATCGGAACAGAATGCCAGGATGCTATACAGCAGTACAGCTGGTTGTACCAAGTGCCATGCTTGCCTTGAGCGGTAAGTAAGATTAGCGACGGTTAATTGTACTACCGTACTAGGCTACTTGCAGTTATCGGTGAGCCTGGCTTAGCACGGCGTGAACTAGCGGGCATTGCCTTGTCTGTAAGACGGGAACAAGGTTGCAGGGTACAGCCCCCGATTCCGGACGCCTGCGCTGCGGGCGGCTAGGCCTAGGCTGGCTCTGGTTAGGGATTGTTTGAATCAATGTACTTGGAACGTAAATGAGACACGGGAGATTGAGACAACGAGGAATTTTTTTTGTTCGAATTTTGCCATGATTTTTATCAGACGGAGGAAAAAAAAGTACCGTCTCAACTTTTTGAGTGAAAATCTGGTTAAAACAACACGGCTAGGAAAAGTGCATCACTCGTCATGTATAACTTTGGTACACCAACAAAACAACTAACAACTTCGTGCCCTCATCTGAACTATAGTGGGCCAACTTTATCAAAATGACATAACTAGCAACTGACTAGCTAGAGCACCTCAAACCAAAAACAACTAGCAAAACTATTCTCTCTAGCAACCAACACAGAGTACAACTATAACAATCTCGACAAGCTGCGAGCACCACCAACAAAAACAACTTGGAGCACTGCCATTGTCCTACAGTAAGAGCGGAACAGTGGAGCCGGAGGAACCTATCGACACATTCAGGAAGAAAACGACACCAAAGACCCATGGGAAGGTTTTCACCCATAAATCCTAGTACGATAAGAGAAAAGATACAAACACAACACCTCCGACGAGGAAGCGACGACCACAAACATCGTCGTCTAGGTTTTCTCCCTAGCCTCAAGCAACCCACCCTTCGTTTCCCACCAAAGCCCTCCTCCTCACGTGGGCGTAGGGGATACCTATCCCAAAGAAAAGCGCTAGTGATGACACACGAACGTTCGCACCAACACTAGACACCACCACACACACAACAGGCGTCATCGCCACACACACAGTCACAAAGAAGACCTCCAAGGAGGCGGGATACATAGAGGCGAGGGAGACAGCAGCAACGCTGACCTATCGCCCTAAGGTCACGACGTGAAGGCCGCCTGCCGCCCTGGGAAGGACCGAAGCCTCCAGCCAGCCAAATGGAGCCCCCAACGACCATATTTGGCCCTTGCCATAGGCGAACAGTCGTTATTGGGACGCTGCCCTCTACCTGTTGGACAACACCATACATATGAGCTCACCACCAGGGACGGATCCAATGTGAGTGTAGGGGGTGCTCGAGCACACCCCCTCCCTACTCCCTATGAGCAAGTGAGCCCTAATATCCTGTTGGATATATTATGGGCGTGGCCCGTATAATATTTAATAAATCAAATAAAACTCTATGGTACGTAACATTAAGCTTTGTATGGTTTAATACCATACGGGATTTTGACTGAACGTTGACTCAGCTTATATGGTTGGAAATTATTCATCTTAATTGAGAAGCTGAGAAAAAGACATAGGCGTGCCACACGCGCGCGCGCCGCCGCCGCCGCCGGCCGTGGGCGCAGGCCGAGGCCGGCGAGCGGGCGGGCGGGCGTGGCCAGTCTTTTGCCACTTAATCCACATAATCACGGGAGTTTCTCCCTTTGATGGTGAAGACGAACTGATTGCGTCAGTTACCGTCCCTTCCGCTTCTCCGTCTCCTGGGATTCTCCGCTGCCTTTCTCCCTTCCTGTCGTAGCCATATATCCGGAGTCCTCCGTTAATCCAGATCTGAGTCTTTCGCAACCATTTTCGAGAGAAACCATATCTCAGCAGCCCTCTGGCTTCTCCGTCCCGTAACTCTACGCGCACGGAGTAGCGGGAGAGCAGGTGCCTCCGAAACCCTTGTCCGCCTGAGAACCTTGCACGGGGTGTGCGGCGATTAGGTTTTTGGGGAGCGATCCGCGACTGCTCGTCCACGTACGCCTTCTTTCTGGTGGTGAACGCTCTCGGAACCCGTCTTCTTCCCGGTGATTACTTGCGAAACAACAAGGCGTCTTCATCCTGGTGATCCGTTCGTGGGACTGCACTGTGAACATCGACTGTGGTCCACGACTTCGAGCAACGCACTATGTCGACTAGTGCGAATAGAGCCAACGATGCCCTCGGCATGGGACCCTCCGCTGGGTATACTCTAATCTCTGTGATTACTGTACTTTGCGCTTTTACTATATTCATCTATATGTCATCTCTGCATGTTGTAGCGTTCGTTAGAGATATACACATGCACATATATGCCGTCACGAATCTGCTGATGTTATATTTCTGGATTAAATTGACTATGAAAATGCCTACTTTTCTAACAATTCAAAAACCTAATCTTAGGCAATTTTCTGTCAGTGGTTTTGCTGCTGCTTTGAAGCCAAATAATTTTGATGGCAAGAATTTTATGATATGGCGTGCCAAGATGGTATTGTGGTTGACTGTGATGAACTGTTATCACGCCGCACAAGGGAAGCCTGAACAATTTACTCATGAGGAGGAGCAAAAGTTCTTCGCTGCCGATAAACTATTTCGAGGCATCATGATTAGTGCACTTCATCCTAAGTATGAGAAAAACTACATATCTTGCACATCAGGCAAAGAATTATAGGATGCTCTTGAGGTAAAGTTTGGAGTTTCTGATGCTGGTAGTGAACTGTACCTTATGGAGCAACTGTATGACTACAAAATGGTTGAAAACCATTCTATGGTCGAACAGGCTCATGAGATACAGGCGCTAGCAAAGGAACTAGAACATTTCCCATGTTTGTTGCCGAACAAGTTTGTGGCCGGCGGTATAATCGCTAAGCTACCACCTTCTTGGAGGGATTTTGCTACTTCTCTAAAACACAAGAGACAAGAGTTTAGCGTGGCTGAGCTTATTGGATCTCTTGATGTTGAGGAGAGGGCGAGAGCAAAAGACAACCATGGAAAAGGAGTTGAGTCTTCCGCTGTCAATATGGTGCAGAAGAAAAACTCATTTGCATCCCATAATAAAAAGAAGAAGAACATGCAAGAAAACAATAGTGCAAAGCCTAAGCAAACTACATAGTTTAAGAAGAAAAACAACAAGAAAGGTGGAGGTTGCTTTGTTTGCGGGAGTGATGAGCATTGGGCAAGTGCGTGCCCAGACCGCAAATATAAGCAAGAAAAGAAATCAGAAAACGTGGTGATTAGCGAGACTAGAGGAGGAACATCTGGGTATGGTAGTTCTATACCCTTTGTTCTTTCGGTTTGTCTTTCACCTGAGTGGTGGATAGACAACGGTGCTAATATTCATGTGTGTGCTGATATTTCTTTGTTTACTTCCTATCAGGCCGGCAGGACTGGAGCCTTACTAATGGGAAACGGTTCACATGCGCGTGTTCTTAGTGCTGGTACGATCGTTCTGAAGTTTACTTCGGGAAAGACGGTGCTATTAAAGAATGTGCAACATGTCCCCTCCATCAAGAAGAATCTTGTTAGCGGTTCTCAAATGTGTCGTGATGGCTTTAAAATTGTGCTTGAGTCCAATAAGTGTGTTGTGTCGAGACATGAAACATTTGTTGGAAAATGTTATGATTGCGGAGGCTTGTTCCGCTTATCTTTGCTTGATGATGTGTGTAATAAAGTGGTGAACAATGTTAATGTTTTGGATGAGTCGAATATATGGCATTCACGACTTTGTCATATTAATTTTGGCTGTCTCACGCGGCTTGCAAATCTAAATTTAATCCTGAAATTTAACTTAGTCAAAGATTCTAAGTGCCAGGTGTGTGTGCAATCGAAGCCACCGCGCAAGCCTCACAAGGCTGCTGAGGCGAGGAACTTGGCACCATTAGAACTCGTTCATTCTGATTTATGTGAAATGAATGGCGAATTGACTAAAGGCGGTAGACGATACTTCATGACATTTATAGATGATTGTACTAGATTTTGCTACGTGTATTTATTGAAAACTAAAGATGAAGCGTTGCATTATTTTAAAGTCTATAAAGCTGAGATAGAAAATCAACTTGAGAAGAAAATCAAGCGTTTGCAGTCCGATCGCAGGGGAGAATATTTCTCAAATGAAATTTCTGAGTTTTGCGCGGTGCATGGAATTATTTATGAGAGGACGCCACCATACTCACCACAGTCTAATGGGATTGTAGAGAGAAAGAACCGCACTCTAACTGATTTGGTTAATGCCATATTAGAGACTACGGGACTATCTAAGGAATGGTGGGGTGAGGCTATATTGATAGCGTGTCATGTCCTGAATAGAGTGTCCACAAAGAACAAAGAAATTACACCATTCGAGAAATGGGAGAAGAGATTAAATCTCTCTTACCTATGAACTTGGGGTTGTTTGGCAAAGGTGAATGTGCCAATAAACAAAAAGCGAAAGCTTGGACCAAAGACTGTTGATTGTGTTTTTCTTGGTTATGCTATTCACAGCGTGGGTTATAGATTTTTAATTATAAATTCTAGTGTTCCTGAGAGGGTTGTTGATACAATCATAGAATCTAGAGACGCTACATTTTTTGAGAATGAGTTTCCTATGAAAAATGCACCTAGCATGACTGGTCATAAATTTATAATTTTCCATAAGCATGAGAATTTTGCTCCTATAGAACAAACTAAGGAACCCTATATACAAAATCCTAAGGAGGATGACACTATAGTCACTAGAAAAAGTAAGAGACAGAGGACTGCAAAGTCTTTTGGTGATGACTATATTGTGTACCTTGTGGATGACACACCAATGACTATTGAAGAGGCATATTCCTCTCCTGAGTTGACTTATAGAAGAAAGTAGTATGGAGTGAGATGGATTTTGTTATGTCTAATGGAACTTGGGAAATTGTTGATCGTCCCTATGGG